TAAAAGACATGAATAGACATTTCACCAAACGGTGGCAAATAAGCACATGAAAAGATGTTCAACGTTATTAGCCATTAGGGACATGCACGTTAAACCCACAATGTGATGTCACTACACATCCATCAGAAGGGCTAAAACATGAAAGAGTGACAACACCAAACGCTGGCAAAGATGCAGAGAAACTGGATCACTCAGGCCTTGCTGGTAGGAAGGTAAAATAGTATAGCCACTCTGGAAAATAGTTCAGCATTTTCTTTAAAAACTAAACATGCACTTACCATTTGTTTTTAGTACTGTGGAGTTGATTCCGACTCCTAGTGCCCCTGAGTACAGCAGAGCAGAACCCTGCCTGGTCTTTTGCGCCATCCTCTCACTTTCAGGCGCTATATCAGACAATGCTCCGCTGCTATTCACAAGGTTTTTATGGCCAATTTTTTCAGAAGTGGGTGGCCAGGTCCTTCTTCCTAATCTGTCTAGTCTGGAAGCTTTGCTGAAACCTGTCCACCATGGTGACCCTGCTGGTAAATGGACCCTATGCCAAATCCCAGTGGCATAGCTCTCAGTATCACAGCAACACACAGTGTCTGATTATAGCACTGGAAGGTGAGAGGATGGTGCAAAAAGACTGGGCAGGGTTCTGCTCTGCTGTGCACAGCATTGCTAAGAGTCGAATCGACTGGACGGCACTAACAACAACAAACCAGTCAATATGAGGTACAGGCCCTGGCCATTTCTTATTCATCTGGCAGGCTCCTAGCCTTGAAGCTTTACTAATTGAAAACTTAAGCCTAAAAGCCAACGATATTAACCACTTCATTGATTGGAATAATGTACCAAAAATTTTGTTAGAAGTCATTTCATAAGTAGTGCAATTTCTTCCTATCCATCTTCATCCCAATAATCTTTATTAAATCTGGCCTGAGAAGGTGAGTTATACAAATACTGCTAGGTGTTCCGGAACCTGCCCAAAGTAAAAGTAACACTCCACCCACACCTGGCTTGAATTTCAGATCCCTTTAATATTCACTACCCTTCTTCCCAAGAAATTTGTTGGAGGTACCACTTCGACTTGCTGTAACAATTAACCTCTTAGCCCAAATTGTAAGAAGAAAAGAGAAAGGGACTGAATCTTTCCTCTCGTTCAACTTGGACCCAATTTCACCTTCACAGCTGCACTGCTGAGAGGATTTTTAGAATGTTCCTCAATTGCATGATTTTAAGTATTATCACGCTTTATCCTTCGGCCTAAGCCTTCTCTTGGGACTTTTTAATTAAAAACATCATTTAAAACACGTTATCAGAGCAACATTAACGTAATGAGAAAAGGGAGTGGCCTTATCAGACAAGATAATCTGCTTTTCTTCAAAGATGCCTTTTCTATTGCATTATGGGATGTTTGTTCAGAGAGATCTGAAGAAGGCACACGGGTTAACCCTGTGCACCAAGTCCTCTGTCTCATCAAGTCAATTTTCTGCTTGATTTTTACACTCCAAGTATCATAAGTACAGCCGTGGCTCCATGGAGACTAACAGAATACGAAAGATGGAGCTATCTTTAATATTTGTTTTTGGTTTTTGTTTCCAAGAAAGACGAAGTGAGAGACATATGCTAGTCAATATATGTAAATCCATCTCACCATAGAGAAGAACATAATTCTTTTACCGTTAAGCAAAATAGAAGAGTGAGGAGTCATTTCATTCCAAACAGAAACTCTTCTGGATTTAAGTGTACACAGTCAGGAAGCATTAAACTCAGCGAAGGAACAACCAATGGAAAACAAGCTGTGCGCAAAGGTCCCCTCTCACCCCATGATGTAAAGTTTCCACACAGCAACATCTGGAGACTGCACTGACCAGACGATTTAAACAGAAGACGCAGAAGCAGGAAGCCATACTCAGCCCCAGTTCTTTGCGAACTCAGCTTGTGGCTGAACCAATTCACTCTGCTTCTAATTCGCAATTCTGCAACCCCAATCAAGTACCTTATTTGGTTCTCACAAGGCCTGGAGCCCTTTCCCCACCTCCAGCCTTCACTCAGACCATTCCTGCAGCCGGAAATGTGGTTCCCCTGACTCCGCGCCCACTGGCTCCCTCTCAGACTTAGGGTTTCAATTAAAATAATATCCCCTCCCATCTCCCTCACTCCGGAGTCAGTCTCTGACTCAGCACCCTGTATTTCTGAGTCCTGTTTCGGGGCCTGACATCAAATAGATAAATATTGGCGAAATTAATAAACGCTTCCTCCAAAAATTAATAAATTACGAAATTCTTCCTCCTGCTAAAAAAGTAGATATCATACCATTCCTTAAGAGAACTTTAGTGACTAATAAAAATTGGCTATATTTTTAGATAGACACACACCCACATGATAATCAAACAACAAATGTAATGATTAGCTCAAGCCATTCGAGATCGGAGGCTGCCCGCCAGGGGTCACATGCAGGTTGCTCAGGCAGAATTTTAAGTAGGTGCCTCACTGAGCAACCTGTGACCCAGGCCTGACCACTCTGTCCCACAGCTGTTCCCTCCTCCGAATGCTTACATGCATCTGTTCTGAGTCTCATTCATCCGTTCAATAGGCACCTCTATTGCTTCATGAATCTAGCCACCCTCTTCAAGTAGACTTTAAGCTCTTGGAGAGCCAGAACAACTCTTTTAATAATAATAGCAAACACTATTGAGTATTTCCCATATGCCAGTCATAATGTTCCGTGCTTTCTTGTATTAATAACATATGTGACGGAGCTGTAGTTTGAACCCAGGCAGAAGGACCTCATAGCCTGTAGGCACACCCTTTTCTTAAACTTGGATCTGACACTTCTCAGCTGTCTGCATGACCTCTGGCAAGTTGCCTCCGTTTCCTCCTCCGTAAAATGGGGACGACATAGTATCCACCTCAGAGGGTTGTTGTGAAGATTAAAGCTGATACCTGTAAAATGCTTAGAAGGTGGCTGGCACACAGTAGGTACTCATCAAATGTTAGTTGTTGTTATTATTGTTTATAGGAAAGTCCCCAATCCCGGGAAAGCCCTCAGTCCCGGTTTTAGCACGGAAAGTACCGCGTCCTTGGCAAAAACTCAAAATGGGTCCAGATGGCGGGCCCAGGAAGGGAGTCAGCCGGTACCCTGTGGTCACTCTCCATTGCCCTGCCTCTCTTTCAGAGCCCACCTCGAAATTCCCGAGGTGGGAATAATGTCCTATAATTAACCTCCCCCCCCCCCCCCCGCCACAGGATTTCAGGAAACGGTACTCCTCAGTCAACAGGTTGTAGCGCTGAAATCGTTACCTTTGTGGCACAAACGTTCTTCTACGTTCATCGTCCTGTTTTCTTCATTTATTGTTAAGTTTTATAACCATCCCTGTTTCTAGGAGCAAACTGGTGTTTGAAGATAACTCTGATAAGGCTAAAACGCCTTGCTTACTTGAATGAAACTAGAGCATCTAGTGCCCCCTGCTGCCTTTTCATGGGAAAGGCAATCAAATAAGAAACGCTTGATCATTGATAGTTTTTTGCTTATCAAATCGGTATAAATAACCTAAATTTGAAATTAGATTCACGTTTTATCTTTTCTTGAATTCGCCCCCTTGAATTTCAATTGTTTGCTTTGCCTTGGCAAAAATTGACTTTTGTTTAATTATATTTTCCTCATTTATATTTGCTTTCCTTGAATTTGCTTTTGACTGTTCTGCTTTGGTGATTTGAAATGGTTTTGTCTTACTCTTGGCTGTTTTTCACTTCCGTGAAACCCTAAGACCGGCGCGCGGGGGCGAGAGGCTGGGGCATCAGCGGGCAGAGGGAACCACACTGACGGTAACAAAACTTAAGACCACATCACCCCCAGGCTGCGAGGTGGATAGGAAGCGCAACCTCATCCACCAGACCCTGGGCACTTCTTACGACTGGAAGTTAGTTTGCTTTAAAACAAAACGAAAACAGAAAAACCCTCTTACCAAAGTGCTATGGTCTATGCCTGTCTTCCCCTGCACCCAGATGTCGCTCTCCAGGAACTTGGCCTTCCTGGGGCAAGCCTGCGGTCAGTGACTCCATCCCCAGCTGGAGGGGAGGATGGAAGGAAGGAGGATGGAAGGAAGGAGGATGGAAGGAAGGAGGATGGAGGCCTTGGCCGGGACCCGATCTCGACCCGGATGGCCCTGGGTCCAAGCGCCTCTCCGCGGGCTGGAACAGGCAGTGGTCGCGCCGGACCTGGGTGACTCTGCAGCGCCGGGCTCCGCCGCGTTCTAAGAGGACCAACTCCCCCGGATTTAGAGCGCGCGCCGCGGAGGCCAAAGGGACGCCGGCCCACGGTTGGGTTCAGGCAGGTTCAGCCAATGAGCATGCGCCTTGGGCGAGGTGGGTCCGCCCCCAACTTGGGCCTTATAAATTCGCCGATGCGCCTGCAGAGCCGAGGTGGTTCCTCAGGCGGGTGGGAGCAGGCTCTGCGGCGTGCACGGCGGGGAGCGGAGCGGCGGGTCTGCCCGGGATGTCAGAGGGAGGTGACGGCGAGCAGCCTCTGGAGACGACGGGCGCCGCCGAGAGCCCACACGAGGCCGCCCCCGAAGGCGAGTCGCCGGCCGGGACCGGGGGGCCCTCGACTGGGAGCCAGGGCGGCGCGGAGGCTGAACAGGTGAACAAAGGAGGGGGGCGGGTAGGTGCTGGGCAGTTGGCGGGAGTGGTTGGGTAGACTTTGGTGCAGTCCCGGAGCCGCCTGGTGGGCCGGTGGCCGAGAGGAACGTGGGCGCTTGGACCCGGGGCGATCCGGGTCGAGATCTGGGCCCGGCCAAGGCCTCCATCCTCCGCACTCCCCTCCCTCCATCCTCCCCTCCAGCTGGGGATGGAGTCACTGTCTGACCGCAGGCTCTGTCCCAGGCAGGCCAGGTTCCTTGACAGCAATATCTGGGTGCGGGGGAAGACAGGCATAGACTATAGCACTTTGATAAGAGTTTTTTGGTGTGTTTTTTTAAAGCAAACTAACTTCCAGTTGTAAGGAGTGCCCAGGGTCTGGTGGATGAGGTTGCCATTCCTTTCCCCATCCCAGCCTGGGGTTCTGTGGTCTTACGTTTTGTTAGGGTCAACCTGGAGTTGAGGTCTCAGTAAGCAGGTAGTGTAGATTGTTCACGTCTTCCAAAGGTAGGATCATTACAGACTCAGGGTGGGTGGGTGTAGACCTTTGCTCTGGATGGTGGCTTTGGCATCCTTCCAGCGAAAGCTTTGGGAGATCCAGCCCTTCCTTAACTCATGGATTTCTTGTCAGCCTTCTTGTCACCATGTGTCTCACCCTGCCATTTCAGAAAATTGTTCGTTGGTGGCCTGAGCTGGGATATCAGCAAAAAGGACCCAAAAGACTATTTTACCAAATTTGGAGAGGTTGTTGACCGTACTATAAAAATGGATCCCAACGTTGGAAGATCAAGAGAGTTGGGGTTTATCCTCTTTAAAGATGGAGCCAGTGTGAGGAGGTAAGCTGCGTACTTCACCAAGGGCCCTTGTATGCGGGATGTGATTTCTTTCTTTCTTTCTTTTCTTTTGTGAGGAAGATCAGCCCTGAGCTAACATCTGTTGCCAATCCTCCTCTTTTTGCTGAGAAGGAACAGCTGTGGGCTACATCTGTGCCCATCTTCCTCTACTTTATATGGGACGCCGCCACAGTATGGTTTGACAAGCAGTGCGTCGGTCCACGCCCGGGATCCGAACCTGCAAACCCTGGGCCGACGAAGTGGATCGTGTGAACTTAAGCACTACGCCACCGGGCCGGCCTCAGGATGTGATTTCTAAGAGAACAGTGTGATCATGATCAGTTTGTCTGAGCTGCATGTGGCCAAGTGCACTGGGGGAAGCAGAGTTTAGGGACTTGTTCCCATACAGATTTGAGCGGGGAGTAAGAAGTCTATGGGTTGGAGTGGTCCAGGAAGAGGAGAGTGGACATTTATTACCTGTTTATGTGCCTGTTTTGGGCACTGCGCTAAACACTTCACATGTGAGGATTAGAAAAGCATCCTAGGATGCAATGAGGTAGGCATTATTTCAGTGTCACTTCACAGAGCAAGAAACTAAGGCTCAGAGAAGATTCACTAACTAGGAGAGGCCACACAGGGAGTAGATGGTGGAAGAGTGGGGATTCCAACCCCTGCAGCCCAGCTTCTGCCTGTGCTCCTAGTCCCTGCTGCTTTCCTCCTGGAGGAAACAAGCCTCAGACTGGAACTGCCAGGACAGGAAGAAGGGCGCACAGCATGGGCAGAGGCTCCGAGGGAGTGAGGTCTCATTTCTGTGTGTTTAGGTAAACCAGCCAGATTTCAGGTTTAGAGAAAATCAGGAAGTCGGGCCTGGGTAGAGTGTGGTGTGTTTGGAGGGGATGAAACATTTTGTGTGCCTGTGGTAGAGTCTTGTGGCTCAAAGAGAAGGGACTAGCCCTGGGTAATGCTGCCAGGAAATGCCAGTGAGCGTTAGAACTCGATCCGCCTGAGCCCCTTCTCAGAAGGAATTGTCCCAGTTTTCACACCGAAAGTCTCACATCCCGGGAAACCCCAGAGGCCTAGTTTTAGTGCTGTAAGTCCCTCAATCTGGGAAATCCGTTTGTTCTGGTTTTAGCACTGAAAGTCCCCAAGCCCTGTGGTCCTGAGCAAACCTGGATGGTTGGTCAACCTACTCTTCTGTTGGAACAGGTCCTAGACCAGAAGGAGCGCAAGGTGAGTGGCCGTAGCATGAACCCCAAAAAGGCCAAAGCCGTGAAGAAGGATCCTATGAAGAAAATCTTTGTGGGGGGTCTGAACCCCGAAGCCACTGAAGAGAAGATAAGGGAGACTTTGGCACATTTGGGGAGGTGAGTGTCTCCCCAGGGTGTGATTTATGCTTCCCACCAGCCACCTGTGGCTGCTTTTTTCCTTCCTTCCTTGGTTGGCTGGAGTTCTCCTCAGCGGGGCTTCTTTCTCCTCCTCTCTGGCTTTTAGGTGCCTTCTCTTCTGTGAGTTCCCTTTAGATCCTGAGTCAGAGAAGGCACCAGCTCTGAGCTTTGCCTGGGTTTCCAGATCGAGGCCATTCAGCTTTCCTTGGATCCAGAGTCTCACAAAAGACAAGAATCTGTTTTCATCACCTTTAAGAAGAAGAACCTGTGAGAAACATTCTGGAGAAGTTCCACACTGTCAGTGGTAGCAGGGTAAGGGTCTCCAGCTCCACGTGCCTGCCTTCCCGCCTCTGGAGAGCTAGCCCTTGGGTTAGTGTGCACCTAGGAGGGTAGCCCATGATCCCAATTTTAGCACTGAAAGTATCATGTCCTGGCAAACCCTTTCCTGGAATGTGACAGGTCCTGGTTCTTGGCAATGAGTGTGGAAGTTTGGAGGAAATGTACAAAACCCATACAGTGGCCCAAACAGAGGGGCTGAAAGTGTCTTGAGTGTCAAATGGATGTGGCATAGATCATGTACCTTCTGTAGCTGCTGTCACCCACTTTCCCCTGACCACTGATGTTGGCGACCATAGTTTGTGGTTCACAATAATGGTTTCTCTGTCCATTGTTGCATCACAGTGATGTAACTTCAAGTGTGTTGTAATTATGAATATTAACATTCTGTCCCCGACTTTGCCTGTGGGTTAACTGTTGTGCTTTGTACTGTATCAGGGTAGTGCTAGTTTTATTTTTTAATGTTGTGAATATTGTGACCATGTTTTCTAAGAGGTCAGATAATAAAAATGAGAACGATAATAATACCAAATGCAAGCATGATCCCATCACCGAAAAAGAAGGCTAAATGACTGTGTTATTTTAATGACAGATGGAAGGACACATACGACTGGATTAGGAGGGTGAAGAACCCAAACCAAGCACACTGCACAATATGCAGAAAAGAATTTGGGATTGGGCACCGTGGAGAAGGGGAGGTGAAAGTACATATGGAGACTGAGTCTCACAAGTCCAGGACGAGGCAGGCAGGGGCCTCTGAACCAATCACAAGTGTTTGCATTTCCTAAAAAGACACAGTGTTCAGGCAAAAATAGCAGCTGCAGAATTAGCGTGGGCATACCACACGAACAAACATGCACTATCTTACTGCTCCCTTGACTGCTCTATGAAACTAAGTAAGGTTACATTTCCTGATTCAGAGGTTGCAGCTAAAATCTCCTGTGGGTGAACAAAAGGAGAAATTTTGAGAACTGATCTGCTGGCCCCTTACAGTGTCGAGCTGATTTTGTCATTTCTCACCAACAGTCATGTTTTCTACAGTATATCAACTTCAAGCGATGTGCCGAGTCACGGCAACAAAAAAAATATTCCCTCTAGCTCTCAGGTACTTTGACTTGAAAAATGGAGTTTCAAATCATGTCCTTGATTTCTATGAAGATTTTAATGAAACTCCTGAAATTATAAAACAAAAGATTGTTGATATTTTGTCCAAATACAAACTAGATTTCGCTCGTCTATCTGCATATTCATCAGACAGTGCAAATGTAAATTTTGGCAAATTCCATTCAGTCTATAAACTTCTTACCGAAGAAAACTGAAAGATCTCACCTATTCAGTGTCCTGCATGTCTTATGTACAACACTGCTAAAAAGGATTGTGATTTGCTGAAATGTGATGTTGAGACTTTCATAATGAAAGTTTTTGGTCACTTTTCAGTTTCCTCAAAATGTGCAGAAGCACTTAGTGAGATTTTTGACTTTATAGAAATGGAAGGAGATGACCTTTCTAGACATGTGGTGACAAGATGGATGTTATTGCTGCCAGCCATAGAAAAGATGCTAAAATGTTGGCCTGCCAAAAAATCATATTTTCAAAGTGTGGGACGAGAAGAATGTCCTTCTTTGATTTGGAAATATATTGAGGATGAGGGTGGAGAAAAGGATTATGGTGAAACAGAAATGTATATGCTGTTTCTCCAAAACTGTTTGATGATCTTTCAAGAGGCCGTAAAAAGCCTAGAAAAGGATGAACTGACTGCACTGGAGCTGTTTGATATTATGTATAGGTTGAGACAAAAACTCATACAGCAGAAAAATGATTCATTTTTTGGAAGTAAGACTGCTTCAGAACTAAAAAGAATGTCACCGGGAAAGGGCAGCCACGTTACACAGGACTTTCTTAATTTCTTTACTAAAACTGTCACTTATTTGGAATCCAACTTTGATTTCACCAGTGCAAATTACCTCTGTGCTTTAAAACCATTTTCCCTGAGACGGAGATGTTTAACTTATGGTGACATCCAGTGTGCTTCAGAGTGTTTAAAAATGGCGGATATTTTAGACATGGATAACCTATATGATGAATTTATAGATGCAAAGGACCTGATCAACAAACAGCTAGTCTATCAAAACAAGCCTGTGGATTCAGAGTGGGTGGACATTTTTGGAGAAATGGAAACTAATTCCTACAAATTTAGAAACTTGCTGTTGCTAGTCAGTAAAATCCTAAGTATTCCATGCTCAAACACGTTCGTCGAGAGGATATTGAGCTTCACGTCAACACATTGGGCTCACACTCGGAATTAGTGTAACGTGGGCTTGAGAAGAGCAGAGCTACAGGTCAGAGTGAATTTCACATTTGACTGTGTCCAGTTTTACCACTACATAAAGGAGAAGAAGGATGTCCTAAAGGCTGCGAGCAGCTCAGAGAAGTATTATTGGAAAAGGAGACAGAAAGAATAAAAATATGCCACTCTATCATGGGACAGAAAGAAATGTGTCATTATTTTTTATTAAATATAGGAAATATCTATTAGTCCTATTATATTCATATTCTCCTTTAGAGTCTTACATTATGTATATTTGTATTCAAATATCCAAGCATGTTAGCACAACAGTCTGTGTCTAATTTAGAAATAAACAATATACATATATTGGGATGCTTGTTCCAAATTTGTTTTACTGATGAGCAGAGGCCTACGTGATAAGTAGCCTTGTGGGATCTGGAAGAAGAGAAGAATCAAGGATCTGAAGCAGGCTTTTTTGTTTGTTTGTTTAAAAATCAATAAGTCTCCTGTGACTTTAGTTTTTGTGAATCAATCTCCCAAAGCCAGGGTGCGCCTGGAAGAACTGATACAAACTGAGTGTCTGAACATCTGAAAATGAGGCCCATGCCCAGGATTAGAGAGCACTCACTGAAGTGTGAACATCCCGGGAGGTCCTGCCGGAGCAGCCGTCTGTCAGTCAGTCCGGCTCTCAGCCTAGCTTTCCCTTTCGCCAATTCCACCTGTATACAATGTATGGAAACTTGCATTACTACAGATTGGGAGTTCTGCAGATCCAGAGGGGCCTGAGAACGGAAATCAGGAGGTCAGAGAACTTGGATGGGAAAAAGAAATTTCTGTTTTCACTAGCCTCTAACTAAAATTTAGCATTTCTTTCCATTAGGTAAATAGGCAACAAACCCAGCAGTATTAGTACCCATGACTGTCATCACTAGGAATCACAGATGCTCACGTGTTACAGACGCCTCGAACTGTTGTTCATGCACACCCCTACTTGGAAATTATGGTAATTACTAAACCCTCTCCTAGATCTTGTAATTTAATAAAGAAGCACATCTATTATATCACAGATTTAGTGTGTAATAATTTGATAACTGTATTTCAATAAAATTGGCTTCCTTGGCCATCCTGTGTATTTTATCTTGTGCATTTGCCCAGACTGCCACTGGGGTTGATGCACATTGGAAGTGAAGAGTCTCTGCTGTGGATCATGAGTAGAAAGCTTTTTTTTTTTTTTTTTTTAAAGATTTTATTTATTTATTTTTCCCCCAAAGCCCCGGTAGATAGTTGTATGTCGTAGCTGCACATCCATTCTAGTTTCTGTATGTGGGACGCGGCCTCAGCATGGCCGGAGAAGCGGTGTGTCGGTGCTCGCCCGGGATCCGAAGCCGGGCCGCCAGCAGCGGAGCGCGCGCACTTAACCGCTAAGCCACGGGGCCGGCCCGAAAGCTTTACAAATAGAAGGACGAATAGGTAGAATTCAAGTGACTAGACTTTGCTGCACCCTCGCCTCCTGCTCTAACCTTACCATTAGCTGGGAGCAGGTGGCAGTTGGTGGCATGAGTTGAGAGGACAATGGCCCCTTTGCCTAAGAACCTTCCTGTTCCCACATGTCCAAGAGTATGGAATTCCCATAATATACAAAGAGTTGTTCTTTTTGGTTTAGGTGAAAATGCCTTGAGTAGGAATATCCTGAGGCTATTTCCAGCTTCTAATACCTCAGGGGTGGAGGTATCTGAGCAGCATTTTATAAATCCAGGCACTGAGGTCCAGGGGAAAGTTATTTACCAGGGGTCACATTAGTTGAAGATACTGAGGTGTTCCAAGAGGGTTTTAGTTTTATTCAGAATAGGGAAAGTGTCCTGGGAGTCTGAAGAGAGAGAGAGAGGGAGGAGGCTGGGGTAAGGATGGGCATGAAGGGGATGGAGAGGAGCACTGGGAGAACACAGAGCCAGACTTCAGGACACCACTTCCTCCACCCCACATTCCAGTGCCTGCGGTCCACTCCCCTGTGAATCTTCAGGAATCTTCTTAGCTCCCAAGGACCAACTTAGACCTCTCCTAAGTTAGTCACACTACTTCTCAGAAGCACTTTTAAGCACAAGGAATAGATTCAGCAAACAAATTTAACAAGATTTAATGTATATTCTTAGGGTTTGAGAAATTCCTTGCTACTATTCCCAGCCCCACAGCATCCCGAGGGCTGCATCATGACTCCTAGGTGACAGCCTTCTTCATAGCTCTGAAGGGCTGTTATATAAGGAAGCGGCTTAGAAAGCAAAACTGGAGTGAGATGAGTTGTTGTCACCGGCAGGCATAATTCCACGTCAATTTAGGTTCATTCCTGGGAACGGATTATCCCGGGACTAGACAGATTTAAAGTGCCTTCCAGTTCTGGCACTCTATACCTTTCCCTGCAGAGTCTGAAGCCCAGCAAATCCTGGGCTTGGAGTATAAGCCCAGGATCCTGGTCTCCCCTACATCTAGATGACCCCGCAGATAGTGCGGTGTGATGAGGGTGCGCGGGCTCTGAAACCAGACAAACGGGCTCTACCCTTTGCACCCCACATAGGAGCTGAGACCTTAGACAACCAAATGACTTCACCTCTCTGAACCTTAGCTCCCTCCCCTGAAAATACGGACCGTTTGCTGGAGAGTATGTAAAAGGCCCGGGTTGGCTGTAGACACAAATGTCCCTTGAATGATTAGTGAACGTCTTCATGGTTAAAAATCTTTCGCCTTTTGGGACCCCTGCTACACCCGGACTCACCGCCTACGAATGCGTGTTAGCCACGCTCTGTCCGGCAGGAGGCAGCAGACCCCGGGTCCGGGCGGGGGCTGGGCGGGCGGGGCAGCGCTGAGGGGGGAGGGAGGGACGTGGCGCATGCGCGCTGCGGGAAAGGCACCGCCCGGAACTGGCGGCTCCGCCGAGCGCTGGAAGGTAAGGAGCAGAGTCCGAAGGCTCCGGGTGTGAGGACTGCTTCCGGACTCCGGGTACGGCGTCTCACCGCAGCTGGCTCCCGACTTTTCTCTTTTCAGCCTCAAGGAGGGCTCGGGGCTGCAGGTGAGCTGTACACGTCGCAATCGAGACCTTCCTGCCCTGAGTTTTCTTGCAAAAGCGCAGAAATAAGCAGACCACGATGCAGAGGACCTTGGGAGGGTTTTGCAGGAGATGGGGTCTGTCTCCCGGGGACCGCTTCTCTCCTCCTGGGAATGCCCCGAATTTCTTCCTTCTGACAGTCCTGCCTCTCCCGCCCGTCCTCCCTCCCACCTTCCTGGAGCTAGGGAGAGGGAGGGGGAGGGGGAGGCTCTTGGACCATTGCAGAAATGCATGGCAGGGTTTTAAGCTTCCCAGCACCACCCAGACTTCACTGGAAAATGTCTTTTGAGCCCCGGGGAGTTCAAAGGTAGGTAATTCTTGATACTCAGCATGAGAAAATGCTTTTTATATAGTAGCTCACGGAAAATCTTTAGTGGACTCCCCAAATTTTGGAGGGCTAGGGGCAAGGCAGGGCCCTGTCACCTGGTTTTGTATGCGGTGTAGTAGATCATTCTGCTGCATTGCACCCAAGGTGCTTTCGGGCCTAAGAGCAGAGCCTTCGTTTGCGATAAGAGCTTGTGATGCCTCCCACATCGCACGCCACCCGCATCCCTTTCATGTTAACGCAGCCTCTCGCTCTCGTGTGCTTCTGGGCAGGTCAGATGGTCCTGCCATGGAAAAGGAGCAGGAGGAGTGATTGCTTTTTGTCTGAATTTTCTCTGTGAGTACAGAAACTTCTTGCAAGGGTTGGGAACAGATTTATTCTGCCTCCTTAGAACAACACTCAGTTTACTAAGGAGATTAACCGACTGGCTGTTTCCTGGCATTAGAGCTACACGGAGGGTAGGTGAGTTAAAGAATGTCTTTAACTCAAAAGGTCCCATCACTCCTGGTGACCTCCCTCCTCCCCCCACCACACACCTACTGCTGTTTCAGGGAATAGCATCGAGGCTCCCCTGTCCCCCACCTCTCCTACTGGTCCAAGCCAGAGGCCTAGGTATGAGCCCTCTCTGACTCACCTCTCCCCCTCACTCCCCACATCCAGGCCTATTGATTCCACCTCCTGAACCTCTCATTGCCGTTGCTCCAGGCCAGGCTACTGTCATCTCTTGCTTAGTTCACTGCAACAGCCTCCCAGCTCATCTCCCTGACTCCCTTCAACCCGTCTCCCACTACTGCAGCCAAAAAGCTCTTGCTGGAATTTAAATCTAATTGTGTGGCTCCCTTCATTCATCCCTCACTACCCTTGGGACAGAAACCAGTCTCCCTTTACAGGGCTTACGTGGGTGGTCCGGCCCTGTCATTCTTACCAGCCCCATGTCTTTTCACAACCCGCTTGTACTTCTTTCCATGTTGACCACATGCCATGCTTCCTCAGGCCCCTGGGCCTTTGCACATGTTCTCCTTCTGTCTGGAACACAGCCTTCCTTGCCACTCTCTTCACTGAGCTTACTCCTACTCTCCCCAAGGTCCCCTGCTTCCTCTAGGAGTCCTTCCTTAGACTCCCAAGCAGCATTAAGTGCTACTCATTATTATGGTGACCATGCCTCTCCTCTTAGGACTCATTCACGTGCCTCCCTCCTCCGTGGTGCTGTACTGTAAGTCCTGGAAGACCAGGGCCATGTCTGAGGGCTTTCCATGGCTTCCTACCGCCTTGCACAAAGAAGATGCTCAATAAATACAGGCATACCTCAGAGATATTGTGGGTTGGGTTCCAGACCACCACAATAAAGGGAATGTCACAATAAAGCGAGTCACACGAATTTTTTGGTTTCCCCGTGCGTTTAAAGTTATATTTACACTGTACTATAGTCTGTTAAGTGTGCAACAGCATTATGTCTAAAAAAAAATGGACATACCTTAATTAAAAAATACTTTATTGCTAAAAATGCTAACCATCATCTGAGCCTTCAGTGAGTTGCAATCTTTTTGCTGGTGGAGGATCTTGTAAAAAACACAACAGCTGTGAAGTACAGTAAAGCGAAGCGCACTAAAAAGAGCTATGCCTGTAGTTGTTAAATGGAATTGGGTATAAATATAAGTTGTAATATCTTGGTTTGGTTCACTGAATGCCTGAGTCACAAATTCACCCCACCTCAGTGGGTTTCTCATTTGCTGAAATAGTAATGGCCTGACACACATCAAGCTTGAAAATGGATGTAAAGGTGAGAGAAGAAGAATTATTGTTAGAGCAGCTAATTGTCGAGTGCTCAGTATGTGCCAGGCACTGTTCTAAGTGCTTTACAGGATTAACTCATTTAATTATCACAACAACTCTATGAGGTAGATATTTCTATTATCCCTATTTTACAGATGGGGAAACTGAGTTACAGAGAGATTAAGGAATGTGCCTCCAGTTACACAGCTAGTAAGTTGTGGCGTCAGGGTTGAAGCCAAGCATACCTTGTGGAATATCATTAACTCTTTGAGAAAGACAGTAAGTAGGTGAGATAAACATGAGATGCTCATAGGGCTAAAGATGGTAAATTACCAGATGGAAGACAGTACAGTGTGGTCACAACTTTAAGCTATGAGGCCAAGCAGAAGTGATTAATTCAAAATTAAAAACTCTGAAGAACATCAGTTTCATTTGCATATTCACTTTTTTCTGCCAGCCAACTCAGTTATCAGAGGTATTACTGCTAGTGGTTGGGAATGAGACTTCTGTGAGTCTGAAATCTTGGTTCTGCTGTGTGACTTCAGAGGTGTTGCTTGCCTTCTCTGTGCCTCAGTCTCCTCATCTGGAGGAAAATGGGGATAATAATGATAGTACTAACCTCCTAGGGTTGTGGTCGTGATTAAAGGAATTGGTACATGTAAGGCCTCAGAACGGTGCCTAACACGTGGTAATTGCTCGGAAACGTCATCCTCATCATTGTTACTTGTTTATTCATCACTCAGGCAACAATGGTTTTTGAACACAGGTCATTCCTATGTGTTCAGTGCCCCTCTGCTGCTTCTTGGCCCAGCTGAGCTCTCCTGCTGTAATTCCTCTTCCCACAGATGCTGAGGAGTGTTCAGCGTGGCCTCCTTTTCAGTGTCGTCATCTCCTCCTGTGCCTCGGATTCCCTCCCCGCAGACCCTTCCTCACGGTAAGTTCTAGCGTCCTCTCCGAGATAAGCTCAGAACCCCTTTTCTGTGCTTCTGGGTGAATTTGTTACCGGTTGCTACAGGGAATAAAAGACCAGGTTAACCTAAATGATGAGCAGTGAGAAGATTGTAAAAATGCAAAGAAGTCCCGTACACCATTCCTGCTATCTACAATGGTAATGATTTTCCCCAGGGAGGAAATATAGATGTAAAAAAATTAAGACATAAAAGCACCACCAGGAATCTTAGAATTTCAAGAGCTGCATGGAACTTTAGAGTTCATCTCGTCTGTTCCCCTCACTCTGGGGGGAGTTGGCCTAGGGCTGGGCTGGGGCGTGACCAAGGACCACCAGCCCGCCTGACGAGGACCCCCGTCTCCAGCCTGTAGCCGGTACACTTTCCCCTGCATCTCAGAGGATCGTGGGTGGGGTTTCAGTGGACTGTCTCACCCTGGATGTATGTTTCAGCTGCTGCTGTTATGCACAGTAGGATGTCATTGTCATTCAGTTAACCTCTCGCCAGGACTTCATTACATTCCTTAGTGATTTACCGTTTTGAGCGTGGTTGTCTCCACCACCACAGAAGAGCAGTCTCATAACAAAGCTGGTGACAAAGAAATGTTTAAAGTGGATCTTGGGTTCAGTCAACAAACGCCCATGTTACCCCTTTTCTGTTCTTCGGTGTGAGGAGGATAGGGCGACAAATATCTGTACTAATATGAAGGAATTATAAGATGGAGTTTCTGAAGTCAGGGAATTTAGAAGAAGAAGAGCAGTTTGCTCCAGCCCAGTTTACGGTGCAGGCTAGAGTGGTTAAGGAGGTTGTGGGTGGTTAAGAAGGTCAGACGTCGGGGAGAAGGCTCAGAGGGAGGTGGGTAGAGAGGGTGGTTGGGGTTGCAGAGGGCGGGCATTCAGGGCATGGAAATGAAAAGTGAAGACTGTCGCCTTACGGCCCGGGGAGGAGACGGGCTGACAAGAGCAGAAGCCTGACTCGGGAAGTGGAAGGAACTAAACAGCCGAGGGCACCGCGGGTCTTGAGGACGAGGAGAGGAGAACCAACCTGAGGTGCCCCTGGGTGCACTTGAGAGTGAGGATGGGGGGCAGTGGATGAGTGTTTGGAGAGGTGAAGAACTAGCTTCCCCTTTTTAGTAGACTAGAGAAATTAATTTCTGTGATTCTGTGGAATGCATATCATTTTTATATACATTTGCTCCCTCAAACTCTTTATTTTGTGAAATTTGTCCCTTCCGCCTTGCTGTAGAATTGCAGCCTTGCCCATGGATCTCGTTGGTTTTGGGTATGCGGCCCTTGTGACGTTTGGAAGCATTTTGGGCTATAAGCGGAGAGGTAAGCTGGAATCAGATTTCTCATCAAGGGGACCTGGTGGGGTTGCTGGTTGTGCTGGGACCAACTGAGGGTCTGTAATCAGGACACGAAGTCACAGATGTCCTGGAGGTGGCTGAGTACCAGCATGTCATGGACGGGATTGGGGAAGGAAGCGGGGCGTGTGGGGCTGGGCATGACAGAGCATTCCAACAGACCAAGCAGGTCTCCCTGCTTTACAAAATTCTAATATCACCTGTCATTGTTGATTGCATAATTAATTGATTTAACCTCCTTAGGCTACTCGCTTGGTATCAAATGAGGATTTTTTTTGTGTACATACTCAGAGGGTCAAAAAACTGAATTATGTTGATATTGTATGTTGCAAAGGAAAATTCATTAAATACTTAGATATCATACCTGAAGTTGTCTCTTCATCTCTGTCAAAAAGACGGAAAAAACCCCAGTTGATAAAGTAAGAGGTTTTCATGGAGAAAAATGAAGGGTCAGGTTTTATGTTTTACTTTGTTTTAAGGTAGAAGATTTATGGTCATGGTGTCTCGTATTTCTGTTTCTTATATTTTTATGAAATTTTAAAAATGAAGTATATTTCAAACAGTGTTATATTTGTGACATTGGCGGACTCGAGTTTCAGTGAAAAAACCAGGTCTACACAGTCTTCAGAGTTACTCCCTTTAGAGATTGCTAAGAAGTCCACGGCCAGAAGTTCAGTTCTCTCCGGGGGCTGAGGGGCGGGCAGGTTAGAATAGGTTATCTTCTAAGATTCCTGAGAGCCTGTAATTCACCTTAGATTGTTTGTTGTTCTTATTTTCTCTCTCCATATGTGTAGCGTCGCACATGTGTATTTGGTGGGGAAAAAAATGATGGCACCCAAGTAAGACCTGTAAACACCTACTGGGAAGTCGATGTTTCCTAATGTACTTTAAAGAGGACTCAGTTTAAAATCTCATTAGGATTGTTCTTGGAAAAGCTTTTCGTTGTCAAAGACCTGTCTAAATGACCTCTGTTACAGAACGGAAAAGAGCATCTGGACGTTTTTGCTTGTCTTTTAGAGGGGTGGGAAGAAGGGAGAGTGTGTGTGTGTCTGTGTGTATGTGGGGGGAGCTGCTGGGGTGGACGGGGGTGCGGAGAGAGAGGATTACTTTAGTATTCTAACCCAAATCTCTTTAGGAACAAATGAGGTCACGTTAGCTGTAAGGTCTCTGATATCAGGGCCCTGATGCCCAGCTGCACAATATGGTTCCTTGGCCTCCTGCAAGGGCCCCCACTAAGTGATCCTGGGAGCCCCTGGGGGTATTATGTGTTCACAGAGAAGCCCGCTCTTGTACTGTAATGTGGGTTAAGAGCGCAGGCTACAGAATCGAGCATTCCTAAATTCTGCTCTTGACACAACCACCAACTAGCTCGGATACTCACATGAGTTGTTTTAACTTCTGGGCTTCAGTTCCTCATTTGTAAATTAAAATGTTAGGATTAAATAAGATAATGCATGTACCACGTTTCACATGGTGCCTGGCACAGAGTAAAGGTTTAGTATGCTTGTTGTTTCTGCTGCTACTGCCCTGCCAGTGGAAGGTCTGTGGGCCAGTGGAGCAGAATACCTCTGTCTAGTTTGTGCTGTGTGTTATATTTAAGCTTCTTGTGGCCCCGCTGTCTCTGAACTGTGTAAAGTGAGTCAGCTCTCTGTTTTTATTCAGAGCTTGCCTAGGCATGAGTTGGGCCAGGAAACCTTTGCAGGGACAGTTATTGAGATAATGTTGGGTAGGTTAAAGATGTGATGTCAGCATGGTGTTTGGGTCCAAGTGAGGGGCTGGTAGATTCTTTTTCTGTGCTGGGGCAGAGGAAGGGAGAGAGAGGCGGCACAGGGGCAAGACACAGGATGCTGAGCGCCAAGCCTGCTCTGGGGTCGCCCCTCTTCCCGCAGAGGTCCCCAGAGAAGTGTATAACCTGGAAGACAGTATGATTTTGAGGCTTTTTCTGGGCCAGGTAGCCAGTGCCCAAAGCCAAAATGGCCAGAAGGCTCGCTCTGTCTCCTCCTGCACCAGGGCTGGACCTGACCTCACCCTTCCTACTCCAGTTCGAGGTCAGGGCACGGCAGCCCCTCCAGAGAGGAGAGGAGCAGGGGCAGGAGGGCTTCCCAGGCAGGTGTCCTGCTCTAGGGAGCCCCTGGGTGCACCTTTCAACTCCTTTGAAAACTCCCCTCCCAAGACTGCCCCACCCAGATCAGCACTCCGAGGAAATGGGGGTAGGGGAGAGCTTGGAGCTTCTTTTTTTGTGGCCCCACCGTAGGCAACGAGGTTTTTCCGTAGGGTCTTTGCTCCCTTCCCCAGCCGTGGCTTTTTTATGAGGTAGAGCCCACAGTCCCGGCTCCTTCCTCATGCAGGATGAATTCTCCCAAGAACCTTCCCGGGTCTCATACACGTGGCCCCGTGAGCCTGCCCTGTCCCCGCTGTTGGCTATCTGATCTCGCCAGGACTCAAGTGCAGACGCTGCCGCTCCCTCCTTGTATGTAAGGCGGGAGGATCCTAGCCGTGCAGAAATCGTCAGGGTATGCAGAAAAGAATATTGGAGAATCTCTAGGTGAGAAGACACCTTGATGGTGACCTAGTCATGCATTCCAGAAAATGCTTTATCTCCTTAACTGTATCCTTGTCTGACTTCTGCTTGAACATGCGCCATAACAGAGGTGCCCAGGCATGCATTTCGTCAGGATTTATCTCATGCTGCCTATGTACCTGGCACTGTTTTGGGCCCTGGGAAGACAGCAGTGAGCAAAAAGACACAGCGCTCACCAGCGAGTGGGGGAGACTGACATTAAATACCTGAACAGGTTTATAAATACATGATGATGAGTAATGGGAGACTGTGCTGGGGGCCTCGTTCAGAATGGGGGTCAGAGAAGGCATCTCTGGGGAACCAACCCTTAGGGAGACGTCCGAAGGTGAGCTGCAGTTGACCAGGTGAACAGTGCAGGGAAGAGCAGTCCAGGCAAGGGAACAGCATGGCTGGAAGCCAGGAGGAGTGAAGAGTTTGGCATATTCAGGGGACTGAAGGGAGGCCAGGGCTCCAGCAACTGAGCAAACGTGGGTTCTTTCCTGAGTGCGGTGGGAAGCACTGAGGCTTTTTAATTAGAGGAGTGACCTGTCCAGATGTATGTTCTTAAAAGATCATATTGCTGTTGGAGAACAGATTTGGAGTGGGGACGGGGGTGGAACAATGAGGAATTTATTATTATCTCCAACTATTACATTCTAAGCCTTTATATATTTGATGTGGATTATATGATGAACCATGTTTTACAAGTGATAAAACTCAGAGAGGCCAAGTGACTAAACCAGAGTCCCTCAGGGGGAAGTAAAAGAATCAGGACTAGAACCTCGCATGTTTGGCTTCTCATTCAGAATGTTGCTGTGTGTGTGTGTGCACGCGTGTGTGTGTACACGTGCATGAGTATGTTGCTGCAATGGGTGTGTGTGTGTGCACGCCTGCATATGTTGCTGCAGTGGTGTTTAACCCTGACTCCACATCTGAATTTCCTATGGATAATTAGAAAATAGAGATATCTTGACCCTACTCGTAGAGGTTTCAATCCAGTAGATTCTAAATAGAGTGAGTTTCGTGAAGCGAGGATGGTGTGTGTGTTTTCTGCAGTGTCGCTGGCGTGTAGCCCACTGCCCAGTGCACAGAAAGTGCTGGGTATTTGTCACAGTGCCTGGGGCAGTGGATGGATGGCTCGGGGGCTGGTTGACTGCAACAGTGGCCTGGTTCTTCCTCTTTCTCAGTATAGTCATCATTCATCTCTGAGTCCTGACATGTTGAGGCTGGAAGGTTTGTGAATTATTCAAGACAGAGCCATTGTTTGGTTTGCACAGGATTTCTCTCTCTACTTCTGTGAGCTAAAAATACCTTTGCATCTTATTTTTATCATAACAACCTTCCTTAACAGTAAAAAGATAGAGGCAAGGAGAATAGAAAAAAATAACGAAGGAATAAAGAGATCAACCGATTGCCCAAGATCATGCACTCAATGTCAAAACCACTCCTGCAAGGCAGGCTTTCTTATTCCCACCAGCTAGATCTAACCCCTGATTTGATATGCATTTGGAGTTCCTCTGCTCTGCATTTCGGGTTCAGCATGAAGGTCATTTTGTAGAAACCATCCATGAATAGGCCGATACTTAATTTGGCTTTGTCCAGTTATAATGCCTAAGTAGAAATACATTGGTAGGTGTGTGTCTCATACTGGAAGGAATTCCTTTCATTTGGAGATTCTCTCTCTGAGCCCATTTTTGTTTTTCCAGGTGGCGTTCCATCTTTGATTGCTGGTCTTTTTGTTGGATTTTTGGCTGGCTATGGAGCTTACCGTGTCTCCAATGACAAGCGAGATGTAAAACTGTCACTGTGTAAGTGAGACATTTTTCCCAGTTATGGAGAATCAAACCTTGGGGGTGGCTTTTTAAATCCCCTATACCAGGTATTCTAGAAGATACTTAGTCTCTTACAGGTACGTGGCCATATGCATGTGTCGAGACTGAACACAGTTCTTGTTCCTTTCTAGACAGACCTGATCCAAAATAATGATATTGCTACCAGGCCTTCCAACTCAGAATAATATTTCTCTAAAACTTTATTATTAGAAAAATAAAATAAAATTAGAAAAGGGAATTATGCCCAGATTCTCTGCTAATTCTAAGTACATATTAGCATAGTTTTTGTGTTGCTATGAAAATACCTAAAAAGAGACAGGCTTGCATTATTTTATTTAACAGCTTTAGCTCCTGCTTTGCCTTAAGACTAAATCTGGAAAAGCAAGGTTGACCCTTCTTTAGCTTCTTCCCTGGTTCAGCTTAGTAGGAGAACGTCCACAGAAAAATGGAAACCTGTGTGTGTTTAAAGCCCCCAAGACACTTGGCTTTCTTTTGTGTAGCTTGAAAGAGAAATACGGTGAAGATCTGGAAAAGTACACCAAGGAAATTGTCTCTATTTAAATTGATTATCATTCCAGGTGCCCTGGTGGGATATGGAAGAAAATACAAAGCAGGACAAATTGTATCAGTTCTGTATTTGAGGGGGAGAAAGAGATTTAGTGCGGCTTGTTTTCTTTGCTGATTTTAAATAGGAGCTAGGGATATTTTTAATAATGAAATTGTGTCAGAAGATAAAAATATATCAGCAAGATATAAATATATTGGGCTGTTTGTTCATATGCCTGTAAATAGTTCACATGTTTATTGTCAATCATTTTGTTTTTTTATATTAGCAAGTGATTTTTCCTTGAAAGCTGTTCTTAAATTGTGACATCAATGCCCTGATCTCTTACATAAAACCACCTCTCTCTTACTGATTCAGCTCCTAAAAAGCTGGGATGATGCTTCTGAATATAGTGTTATTAATCAGACTGTTGTTATTTAGTCTCTAGGCATCAAATTTCCCAAAATGGAGTGCTACAAAATAAACAGCCTTCTTCCTAGTATGATTTTATTAATCAGGTCTTACTTTAATAAAAGATACTGATGATTTTCCTAACTTTTAGTTGAATAAACATTTATTGAGTGTCTTCTGCGGGTCCTGGTACACTGCCTCATGTTCCTGAGGAAAGCTGAATAAGCTCCTAGCCTCCAAGGAGAATGCTATAAATAGAAAAGGACTTTTTCTTTTGAAGATATTTCAGGAATGGATTTTAACATGCTGGTTTACTCAGAAATGTTTTGATGAGTTAGTTTATAAAGTGTCTTAATAGAGCACTTTATCTTTTCAAAAATAGCAACTCAGTACTTCTGAATAGTAGTTGTTATATTAGACAGCTGAAACGATAGCCATTGTTTCACAGGTGAGCGCTGAGATTCACAGGTGAGCGCTGAGATTCACAGGTGAGCGCTGAGAGCACGTTTGCTCACGCGTTGGCTTGGTTTCCAGTTACAGCTTTCTTCCTGGCCACCATCATGGGTGTGAGGTTCAAGAGATCCAAGAAAATAATGCCGGCTGGGCTGGTTGCAGGTTTAAGGTAAGAAAGACTATTTTTTTTGTGTGTGTGTGAGGGAGATAAGCCCTGAGCTAACATCCATGCCAATCCTCCTCTTTTTGCTGAGGAAGACTGGCCCTGAGCCAACATCCGTGCCCACCTTCCTCCACTTTACTTGGGACGCCGCCACAGCATGGCCCGAGAAGCGGTGCGTCGGTGCGCGCCAGGGATCCGAACCCCGGGCTGCTGCAGAGTGCGCACACTTAAATGCTGCACCACGGGGCCTGCCCGAGAAAGACTATTTTGATCTATACTTTCCTCTGTCGTCGTATTGAAGTGCTGAATTTTTGGCAAAAGTTGGTTTTAATTTGAAAGGTCGAAGCAGTTTTTACTACAGCAAGCATAGCTGTAAACACCTTAAGATACCATGCATTCAGTCAGTCTTTGGTGCTGATGTGCACATGAGTGTTTTATCGAAGGCACTTAGTGTTGCTATAGTAGCTGATCAAAGGTACACTCTTACCTTTTTCAGAATAAAGAACTAAATTCAGCCTCATTTTACTGCAAGGTTTACCCATCTGAGACCGTCAGTGTATTCACTTAAATCCGGTGCTCAGTCTCTCGTAGAGACTTAGACAGAGGGACAGGCTGCTGCAGTGACTTTGAGTTTTTAAGGGAAAAAAACTTAATATTTTTTTAAAAGATAAATGGGGAACCTCAAGTTTCCCTTAATTTAATCCCAGTAATTTTGTCCATGAGATTAAGCATATTACTAGGTAAAAATATATAGGTAACATTTTTAATTCTGTAAGCTGCATTTATACATTGAAAGCCATAAGCATGTTCATTTCCTTTGATATACATTTCCACTTTTTGGAATTTATTCCAAAGAAATAATGAGATATATGCAAAGACTGATGCTTGTTGCAGCTTTATTTCTAATGGAAAACATGAGAAACTGAAAAATTAGAAACAACCTAAAAAGTTCATCAGTAAGGAAGTGTTTCAGTAAATGCTCAATAAATGGAATATTGAACAGGCATTGCATGTCATGTTTTCAAAAACTATTTAGTGGCATTGGAAATCTTAATGACGTAGGAGATTAAAAACAGGATAAAAAATAACCAAATATAGTATGATCTCAATTTTTAAAAATATGCATAGAAAACCCAGATAGAATGAAATACTGCAAACTGTTAGTAGTGTTCATCTCTGGGTGGTGGCATAATGAGTAATTTTCTTCTTTTCACTTTTCTATAGAATTTTCTAGTATGGTGATGTATTATGTTTATGATTGGGGAGAAAAAGTGTGATTGCAAAAGACTGCTTTCCAGTTATGGGCCTGTTTTGAAAATGACACGTGGTAGTGGAATTCATCAGAAGTAGGGTTTATGGGTCAAGAAGACCCCAATCAATGGAAAGTAGCTGAGACTGTAATAATAATCCCCCAGATTGCTCCTTGATTATTTTTTCAAGTTGCTTGATGTTACTGGCTTTTGAGTTCGGGTTTCCTTCCAAACGTTTCTCTTATGAAGCTTCATCCCAGATTTTCAGGACAGCGAGTTCCGATCTTTCTCATTCATTCAGTGAACATATAAGTGGCTGATTCAGTTCTGTCTGGGAAGTTCGAATACAAGGATAATGAGATCACCCCTCCCCCGAGAAGTAGGCGTAGGGGAGAACTGGAGCCCGAGTTTAGTGACAGCACAGGTTAGGGGAGCCCCGACCTGTTCTGTCTATGCCATGTCAGCGTGACCCCCCTTTGCCTCTGTTTTATTTTCCTGCAGCCTCCTGATGATTCTGAGACTTGTCTTATTGCTGCTCTGAGAATCCAGAGGAACTGAAAACTGAATTCCTGTCATTCCACACTATCGGGCAGAGCATACTCTACGTATGTAAAAGATAAATTTCAATGTGGAATGTTTAGTGTCTTATTTTATGTTAGAAACAAAAGAAACACTGTCACTTCTAATATGAACACTAGTTTGAGGTGTTTTTTTCTTAAACAAAAACTTTGTTTTCCAATTGTCAGGTACTATTTTCATTAAAGATAGTTCATAAATCGTGTTACACTCTTTCATTTGCTGTGCCTAGTTTTATATATGTGGTATTTTCCGACAATTCCAAATACTCGTCTGAAGTAAGTTTAAATTAAACTACAGCTTATTGGATAATGGAATGCCCTAAGTGGGCTTCACAGAATGCTAATGTATCAATTTGTCATTTGTGTTATATTAGAAATTATTAGAAATTATATTTTTCCATTTTAATTGTTAATTAAATTAAAATTGTTTAATTGTTTTGATTTTCCATTTTAATTGCTGCTATCGTTATTTTTTCCTTTAAAAAAATCCATTCTCAGCACACTCTGTGTGCTAACAGAATGTATTCAGTATTCAAATAAAAGACACTCTGTTTTAAACTTTCATTTTAGTGTCTGCTCTGTACACATAAATCACCTTTGATATTTAAAAGTTCTGTTATTAATGAAAGAAGTTGGGAAGGAGGGTTATTTACGCCAGAACTCTTCCTCAGGAACAGGTATTCTCGTTTTCTCTTTCTTTCTGTAAAACAGTAATAACTCTGAAACAAAAGTGATTTTGTCTCAAATCACCACTTCATTTTTAGGCATAGTTATGACTTTTAATGTCCGACGCACTTTGAGGCCCCCGACTGAACACTGGGAGACTGGAGTCCCAGCCCGACTCTCCCACTGACTGTATGCTCTTTAGAAGGTCGTTTCCTCTCTCTGGGACCCCGTTTCTCATCCTTAAGGAGGTATTTGGACTAAATGATCGACAAGACCCCTTAGAGCACCAAAAATCTGCAATTTTGGTCCTGTTGGCTCTGCGCAATGCTTCAGGTTGCAAACGCTTTCTTTAAATGAAATGGTGGGTAGAGCTCCCAGCCGATAACAGCAGAGTTGATATGGTTGTGTTCACTTACCTTTCCCAATTGACTTTCAAGGAGGTTGTTAAACTTCCAGTGATAAGTAATTCAATTCAGGGAAGAAAGAAAGAAAAACACTTAATTTAACCAAATAGGAAACCCAAACAAAATCCTTTGATATACTTTAAAAATATCCTACTTAAAAGAAAAAATCCCACTAATCCTAATGGTGCCAAAGAGGTTGTTACCACAGGCAGGATGGAGAAAGCGGTTGTCATTGGACTGCCCCGTGTGCTTGCTGACTGTCACAGATGATGGAGGGGAACCTTCAGATTCAGATTGCCAGCAGCTTATGCTCCAGCTCTGATTATGATACTGAAGTAGAAACTAAAGGTGAACTTGATCCTGGAAATATATACGATATCTGTAAAATACTCTAGTGATTGAGAGTTTAAGAAACTAGTTGGAAGCCATGCTGTGTCCTGGATTTTTCCCAAAAGGTGGTGGGAGTGGGTAATGTTGATGTATGTGTGGCTGTTTTTGTTTTCAAAGAAATCCGTAACACCCATTTGATTACTTATGATTTTACTCTTTTGCAATAAGTAGAATGCAGAAGAATTCTTATTTGGATGATTCTGATTAATTGGTGTTTTACTGTCTTATGAAAAACGGGAGGGGGGGTTGTCTGATTTAAGACAAGTATTAGGTAGTTTACTTCCTTATGCTGTTTATTACTTTATTAAAATGGCCTTATGATTTCTTTCTGGACACTGCTACAAACGTAAAGTGAAACATTTCCTGAGTTCTTTAGATCTCTTCATTTGTTAATACTCAGCTGCTATAGTGCCCATGTTTTTAAGAAACATGCCACGTTCAAATCTGAAAATACTCTTCATGGTCTCAATGGAGGCTTCATTTAGTGGAGGCTTCCTCTGGCTTCCAGGCTGGAGGAATTTGGTAATTGTGGGAATATGGCTGATTCTGGCCTTGAATTCCTAAAATGTAAAAGATTACTATTCGTGAGAGTAGAGCAAAATAAACAAAGTAAAATATAAATGAGGCACATTTTTGCATAAGAGAAAAAGTGTTCTTATTCCTCATTGCTAGTAGAGGTGGGAGATAAAATGGAATTTTTATACATTGTGTGGTAGTGCAAAGTAATGCTCCCCTTGTAGAAAGCAAGCTAGCAATATTTCTCAAGAAGCACAAAATGTTCATAGGCTGTAACCCAGTGATCCCATTTTTAAAATTGTATCCTAAGGATGTAATCTTAAATGTGGAAAAACCCATACCTGTGAAGATGCTGTTGTAACATTATTTATAAAAGCAAATATTCCAGAGTATCCCGATATATAACTAATAAACAGAAGTCCTTGTTTTTCTTATGTTCTAAGCATTTGTTCATGTTGTTATGTAATCTTTGAAAACATAACTGAGGCTGCATAAAATTCTATATGATGGATGTAGCCCCATTTCTTAGGTATTGAATAATTAGGTTGTTTGTGATTTTCATTATTTAAAATAAGATTATTCTGAGTACAATAAGCGGACTTATAATCATGAAAAATTTCACAAAAATATATGTAACAGACTTCATTGTATAAAAATAAGGCAGACTAACAATACTAAAACACGCTTATGTTGTAATGTGAAGTGGAAAATACAGGCTGCAGAATTATCATAACTCAGATTACAACTATTTTGAATAAGCATACTTTTAAAAGGCTATCAAGAATCCACCAAGAGCAAAGTGTTTTAGAACTCAGGCGGTGGAAGCAGCCGACTGGGGTTTGAGTCCCAGTCCTGTCACCCACCAACAGTGTGACCTAGGGAAAGTTACTTAACCTCTCTGAGTCTCCTTTCTTAACTACTTTGAGGATGGAATAAAATAAATGAAGTAATGTGCATTCAGTGCTTGGGATGATGCTTGCATATAATAAGAGTAGAGTCAATGGTTATGGTTATTGTTAATTAGTGGCTATGGTAGGATGATATTATCTTAAGTGTTTTCCCCTCACCTTACCTAGAGGTAGGCAGCCACTTTTACTGAGGTTCTACTATGTTCCAGGCAAAGCCTTTGAGATTTAACTCCTGTAAGAAGCCTGCCTCAGATCGCCATGCTGGCCTGGGTGACCCTCATCTGCTTTCCCATGTCATTTGATTTTTTAGTTTACCACATTATATAGAGGTTATCCCTGTGCTTGTCTCCCCCACTAGGTGTGTTCCTTGAGGGCATGTTTGTATTTCTAGCATAGGTTCTGGCATAAAGAAGTTAGCAGCTTCTTAAGTGATAATGAATGACTGAAGGAAAGAGTAACGAATGATGCAAATTCATCCTCCCTGCAGTTCTTGGGAGCTGTGTGGATAGCATGACCTGTAGCAGAGGGAAGCCTGGGAGGACACTGGGTTTGCACTCTTCTGTCATCAAGATGACTTCAAGCAGCTGTGTATCAGCCCAGCTCAGCCGACTGCCCGCAAGAAAATCTTGCCCGTGGTCTCTTGTGCCTGCATGATAGTTGAGAAGTGAGAAAGTAGAGGATTTAGGGGCATACCTAGCATATAACTTCAAGTGAGTGTGATTTGGCAGAAAGTCCTCTAGAAGTTCAGAGACCTGGTTCCTAATCTACTCTGTGCCACTGGCTGTGCGAGCTCCAACAAATCCCATCTCCCTGAGGGCTTCAGTTTGTTCACCTAAAAGAGGTGGAATAGGGCTGGCCCCGTGGCTTAGCGGTTAAGTGCACGCGCTCTGCTACGGGTGGCCCTGGTTCGGATCCCGGGCGCGCACTGACTCACCACTTCTCCGGCCATGCTGAGGCCGCGTCCCACATACAGCAACTAGAAGGATGTGCAACTATGACATACAACCATCTACTGGGGCTTTGGTGAAAAAAAGGAGGAAGATTGGCAATAGATGTTAGCTCAGAGTCGGTCTTCCTCAGCAAAAAAAGAGGAGGATTAGCATGGATGTTAGCTGAGGGCTGATCTTCCTCACACACACACAAAAAAAACAGAGGTGGAATAGCTTAAATCTTCCTCACATATTCTCAACCCTGGAAACAGCAATCTCGTGTGCCTTTGTTTTTTTCTCGTTTCATCACCCTGTACCTACTCTGTGAATCTTTACAGAATGATTTCAGCACCGTAGCCTGGCCTGGCGGCTCTTCTGGGTCTGTGATGCTAGTCTCTCCTGGCACCTTCTCAGGGCAAGGTCCTTAGCTATGCTGCACTTTGCAGGGAGAATGTCATTCTCACAGGGACCCAAACCTCTTTCATCAGCAAATTTTCTTCTAATAGGGCTCTGACGTATGGGTCACTTTGAGTCAAAATCAACTGAATACAAAATGAAAGATTGGAGTTGGAGGACACTAAGGTATATTTTAACCCTAAAACTCTACAATTTTATGACGCTTGGGCATGGGATCAGGAGTTAGAGAGACTGGAACGCAGGCTTTAACTTTGTTAGTTGTATGACCTTGGGCAAGTTACTTTGCTTCTTTAAGCTCTGGTTGCCTCATCCGTCAAATGGGGATAAAGCTGTTTCATGGAGTTATGAAGATTAGAGGGGATCATGCATGCAAAATGCATAGCACGGTGCCTGACACATAGTAAGCACTTGGTAGAAGTGAGCCCTCATTGCAGTAGCTGGTGCTGTTGTTAGTGATGATGTTATTGTTACTACTTTTAGCCACGAGGGCAGTCTCTGTACTATCCCACAACAGAAACTTCAGTCATTGGGAACAGTGGTGTTTAACATCCATTCCATTGTCAATATTGGTAAAATTATAAGATAAAAATCTCTTAAATTACATGATAATTACAAAGGAATATATTATCTTTTAAATGCTTTTGAAAGAATGATTTGGAGAAAGCCTGAAGTGTAGACTATTCACAGTTTGATTCATCTTCCATCTTGTACCAAGGGAACTATAACTCACTAAGTGTACTTGAGGGAAAGTACAGCCTTGGAAGTTAGAGTATCTATAATCTATGTCAAATACATAAGTATCAATTAAATAATCTGCATTACATGACTAGGCTCTAAAATTATTGATCATGATAAGTATATTTAAATGTATGGACTAAAGCTTTCACTTAGAACCATTGTTACTTAGCCCAGAAAGGATGGATTAAAGCAGAATTGCAGGTGAGTTTGGAAAGCTTACCTGGCTCAT